TAGAAATATACTAAATTATAACACAGAGATTATAGGGGATCAAACCCAGGGCTTCACTCATGCTGGGCCATTCCACTCCACCTCCAGGCCTAACTTCTTATTAGTGTTTACATTGTACCTCATTAAACTTACTAAGAGCAAAATAAGGTATTTTGTGACATAGCAGCGTTATTAAATATTTCAGACACATATAAGAAACTCCTTTCTGATGATCATCTAGACCACAATACAACCAGAAGCCCCGTGTCTTGCTTACCCTCAGGCTTACGTCCATCAGCTTACTTGCTATATGAATTTAACATACATGGTGTTGGCTTTCCTGTTTTCAAGCTCTACACAGATGTCCCAACCATTTACAGTGGTAATAAGCAAACCCACAGACTGAGTTACATTTATATGACTTCTAGCCTTGGGGCTGCACAATGAAAATTTACTGCTGTCTACCCCTTTACTGTACTCGCCCCAGGAGAAAATACAAAAGAAACCACTGCTTTCTCTGTCTGGCATTGGGTTGAGGGTCACAGGAGAAGGGATGGAGACAGGGGATTACTGAACACTTCAATTGGCAAGTGACATGAAAGGCAGTTTGTAAGCCTGGTCCTGCCCCAACAGCCGCAGTAGACTCATGCATGCACAGGGTGACAGGGTTTGGATGCTCATACTGGCCTGAGTCAGCAGGACTGCTGGTGCCTGGTGTCATTGGTTCCTGGACAGTCTTTTTACCTTCTGCTGAATGGAGGTGACCTTGCCAGGAATAGTGGTTCCAGCTCCCAGACCTACTCTGGACCATTAACTCTACACCTTATTATTGCCACAGGAGTCAGAAACATGTCCAATTCCACTCCTCTGAAGCAACTTTTGATTAAATTTGACCCAAGTGCTGTTTCAAGAGGTGAAGACTCATGACATCCTTCCTGACACTGGTTCCGATCCCACAATTCAAAATTCACTTGGTTTGTAATCTGTGCCTCTTATCACTGTTAACTTCACCCTTTCTGTAGTTCCCCTTTCTCATTAGATGATGTTTTCCACTTAAAGCTACCAATCTCTGTATTGTCATACTAACCTCCCATGGCAAGTTACAGTGAAACATCCGACATCCTAACTGCATATTGAATACATGAGTAAAAGATACTAGGTTTTGTTGCATCAGATTTAAAATAAAATACCCAATCTATAAAACATACAACTATAGCCAGACACGGTAGTGCATGCCTCTAACCTTACACTCTGGAGACAAGAGTAGGCAGAGCTAAAATTCCACGGTCAGTCTGCTGTACACAATATACTTTCCTCCTCATACCCTTTCCTTGCTCTTTTCATTTTCTTGTTTTCAATAACCTCCTCTTCCCATCATTCCTTCGCTCCCTCCCCCAGTCTGCTTTGATCATTGCTGGAGTCAATCTTCAACATGCTGCAGGACAGAGGCAGACCACTTGGAACTCAGAAGCACCAGCTGGCTCCATTCTATCCCCTTTTGAGGTGCTTGGGCTCAGGGACCCAAGCTAGTAAGCATGCTACCAGAGCTGTACCCCAATCCCTTTAAAGACTTCAGAAAAATTGTACTATGGAGTGATAGGTATGATAGCTCACACCTGTGAATCCTAGCATTTGTGTTTCGCCTTTTGCTTCAAGCAAAACAGGATACTTTAACTTTCAAGAAAATCATTTCCTTTCATGGCATGGTGCTGTATGCCTAAACCCCCAGTGCTGAGAGATCCTTCCCTGACTACCCCATCTAGCCAAAACAGCAAGCTTCTAGTTCAATGAAAGTATAAAGGCAGCTGTCCCCTTCTCTGGCCTCTGAATGCTCATGTGCATTACATATTCATTGGTCTGCAACCCCCCAAACCCAAGGAGCCAAACTCTTCAGAAAAGGAGAGACACAAAACTGTTTACATTAAAAAAAAATATTTACTGGATGGTGGCAGCACATACCTTTAATCCCAGCACTCGGGAGGCAGAGGCAAATCTACAATGCGAATTATAGGACACCTAAGTCTGTTACAGAAACCCTGTCTCAAAAAATTCACCTAAACAGTAGCATCCAGTATTAAAAGTTCATGCTCATGTTCACAAAACTCTCTCACCTTCTGGTTAAGCTGTCAAGACCCTAGTTTCTTTTCCTATAACTCTTGTACCTAACATCAAGCATCAAATTATTGTACCGCTTTTACATGTGAATTAACTTCTCTTGCCCACAACAGCATGTATATGTTTTATAGCCACTCTTGCCTGACCTCAGACTTTTTGTAATTTTACCAAGGCAATAAAGCTGCTCTTAAGAAAAAACATGTGTTGTATGCATGTGTATCTGTGTGCTGCTATGTGTTGTATGCATTGTGTATCTGTGTGCTGCTATGTGTAACCTCAAGAGTCCTTAGTGTCAGGTCCTCTGTAAGAGCAAGTCTCTCCAGCCATGAAAATCTAGTATTCTTGATTCTGAGTGGTTACACACGGGGAGGTTTACATTGGTTAAACATGTCATACATGTTTATGGACACAGAACCAATTCAGAACCCATGCCCCCAAAGCATTCTAGTCATTAAATTCAGGCTTAAAATAAACCAATCAGCTCAAACAAAATTGTTACAGGTACTAACAAATGATGGTCTCTAGTCCAACTAGCTGTTAGAAGCCAGCCATAGCTAAGTGGCCATCACAATATACGCCGCCACCTCTGCAAACTAACATTTTAGTAAACTAGAACCTTTCTCTCTAGTATGGAACATCTCTGCACTACTCCAGTCTGCAATATTCCTGGCTGGGTTAAACAGCTTTCACAAGATCCTACTGATAACTATTTTAATTCAGCATTCCTTTACCAAACTACATTTTAGTCTCAGCCTGCAGTTTTCTTTTTGTTTTGTTTTTCGAGACAGGGTTTCTCTGTGTAGTTCTGGCTGTCCTGGAACTCACTCTCTAGACCAGGCTGGCCTCGAACTCAGAAATCCGCCTGCCTCTGCCTCCCAAATGCTGGGATTAAAGGCGTGCGCCATCACCGCCCGGCTGAGCCTGCAGTTTTAAGAGACAAAATCTTCCATTAATACTTGAGAATTGCTCAGGCACTTACAAGCGCACACTCAGGTTCATCAAGAAGAGGGAGGGCATGTACATCCTCGCCAAGAGAAAGTGGGAGGAGCTGAACAATGTGCTGACAGCCAAGTAAGACTGATGCACCCTCCCCCCAATAAAAGATCATTGTTCCTATTTTTAAAAAGTTTGTCAAAGCTGAGCAGTGGTGCACACTTTTAATCCCAGCACTCAGGAGGCAAAGGCAGGTGGACCTGAGGTAGAAGCCAGCCCAGTCTACAAAGTGAGTTCTAGGATAGCCAGGGCTATACAGAGAAACTGAGAGGTAGTTGGGTAGGTGTGCTGGGCATGATGGTACACGCCTTTAATCATAACAGTTAGAAGCCAAACAGGATGAATGCTGAATTTGACCCTGGTCTAGACAGCAAGACCCAGATTAGATCTTTGAGATCAGATCTCAAAGACAAAAAAAAAAAAAAAAAAAAAAAAAAAACCCCACAAAACCCCTAAAATTTCTTGAGGGGGCAAAGATGACATTTTGTAAACTGGGTAAGAGTATTGATTAGCAGATGAAATTTGAGGCTTTAAGGCTTACTAAATACCCACCCCAATTCAGTATGTACTTATACTAAAACTGCAGTAATTTTGTTCACTGAATACCCTGCATCTATTATTATCGGACACAAGAATGTTTAAACAGTTCTCAAAGCATGAGTGAACTGGGGCTCCTTTGGTAAGCAAAGGACCTGAAAATGTTTAGAAAATGAGCAGTCTTCATTCATGACACATGACATCTCACTCCATATTCTGAAGAGTTTGTTGCTCTTGAAAGACCTGGGTTTGACTTTCAGAATTAACATATTATTTCCAGGAGATCCAGGGCTTCTGAGCTCTGCTGACTCCTAGTCTGCATACATGCACAAGTTCATGCCACTCACTACCTTTTATTGTGTAGCTAAGAAAACCTAAGTTAAAACTGTGATCTAGAATTTGAATAGCATTATCTCATCTCGATGCCCAATTAGAAATTTAGTTCAATTTGTTATTTTACATTTAAAACTAATCTGAAGTTCAAGTACATTCATTACAGGCAACAACCTTGTGTCTTCCTTTCAAAGTATTAACTAGTTTTCCCTGGTAACAAGAAACAATACAGTAAGTAGAAGTGAAAAGCTACCTCATAAAATGGTCTAAATGAAACCTAGTTATCAAACATCAGCCTGTGCTTTCTGAGATGCGTTCACTGTTAAGTTTGGCTGTCCAAAAAGAAACTTGTGATCCTGAGCTCCGACAGAAGTCTGGAAAGGCCACTTTTAAGCCCTACTATTTCCTGTAGCTCCCCTACCGCCAAACTGGAGTTCCTCATTAGTTCAGTGAGATTTATACGGGGGACTTCCAGACATTCCCACAGTACAGTGCAAGTTTTCTTTAAACAAGACTGCAGTAGGTAGCACTGTGTTCCCTGTGCTTATACCAACCATGAAACCAAGATCAGTGCTGGGGCTGTAGTTCAGAGTGCTTACATGCTTGAAGCTCTCTAGGTTGACCCCATAATTAACAGGGTATCAGGGGAACTATAAGATAACAAAGTCCCCACATAGGTTTGAATTCTGGCACTGTATCAAATTAATCTAAGCCAAACTTCCTCTGCACATGGATACTACAGTAATATGTAGCACTTATGAAACACCTGTATATACTAAAAGCCCATGAGTAAGCCCTACATGTAACAGGCTTAAACAGAAGGAAACTGGTACCAAAACAAGCTTGTAAAATACCCAGAGATGTGGAGAGGTTAGTTATTTAATAAAACCTCAGCACCAAACAGAAATGTTCATTCCAGTATCTACTTGGCCAATATATTTGAGAAACACATTTAATGTTATCTTGAAGCAAGAACAATATTGCACCAGGCACTAAATAAACTACAGGACTTTAATTATAACAGTTAAAAAGAAAATCAACACTTCTTTGTAAAACAAGTTGCATCAGCAATTTTTCTTGCCTTTATTTAAACAGTTCTCAAAACATTTGAGTGAATTGGGCCTCCTTTGGTAAGCAAAGGACCTGAAAATCATATTTAAAAAATGAACAGGCAGTCTTTATCCATGACACAGGTGTGCTGATCCCTTCTCTCATTCCATACTTTGAAGCACCCAGTATTTTCATATAGTCTAAAAGCTAGAAGAACAAGAGTACATTTGTGGTGGAATGTATTGTCATTTGCTGATAATTAGTTGAAATACCATTATCTCCTTGTAACAGCTGTAAGAAACAGCCTTTTAAAGGCATGTATCTGTCTGCAGCTCTTATTCCCTGCTATATATAATACAGATTACACAAAGGCCGACAAATCCACATCAATGTAAGCATTAAGCATTTGCTGTATGGAAAGATTTTTGTTCTAATACTAGCAGTACAGAGTTACAGCGTATTTTTAACACTTATTTGCAGGTATATTGAATATGGCAAGTTTCATGGACTCCTGAAAGAAAATTATTTTTATTTAATTTTTAAATTTCTTACTGATAACTTAAGAATGTTTCTGGTTAAGCATTGATATTTAGGAAGAAAAGTAAAAATCAAACTTGTTTATTGTTGCTTTTTGCCATCTGGTAGCATTTTACACACAGGCTTCGATCTTCAGAATACCCTGAATTCAGTAGAAAAACCTTTTTTAAATGAAGTTTTGTACAATAGAAACTTCTCAGCAGTCAAAATTTGGACTGTAAAAAAATACATGCAAAACATACTTTTCTGAAAACACTTAACTTTGAACAAAGCACCGAACTACACAAATGCAGAATGAAAACAGCATTTCAACTCCACCAAAAGTAGTCATCATAAAAGGTGTAAAAGTCACCTAACTTCACTAGGCACTGTTCACTTTTTAAACAGGAGACAATAGAAAATATTGTCCACAAACAATATCCCAGCTCTATGGCAGGTTTCAGAAAGTCTTCAACTTCATGCTTTAATAGCGACCTGGAATGAAAACAAACCATCTATTAAAATGGGAGGTTTTTTTGCCCCATAACCTGAAAAATCTCTCACTCAAGCATTAATAGATTAGTTTATAAATGGTTAATAATTAAAATTCAATTTAGTAAGTTTATATTTAAACCATTTATGTATATCACATATGAAACTATACACAGACATAACCAGTGGGGATGGAACAGCATGGACTTGCAAATTGTAAGATTCAGCAAATCAGGTTACAACAGATAAAACCCATCCAGGTAACTTACGAGGTGAGTAGGATCGTGATCGAGAACGTGACCTGTATCCTCCACGACTGTAGTAAGGAGAAGGTGACCGCCTTCTGTAAATAAATTAAGATTGCATCTACATCTAGATGATACTGGGCTAATAATAATAATATAAAGACCAATTTTTGCCAGTTCCCAAGCTAGAAGATTCTGATCCTTTAAAATGCAGCATATTAGGTTCAAATACCAAATAAACATTTTAAGTAAAATATCTGTTTACTTTTAAAAATGATGTTTCACAACAAAAAACCATTCATTCAAGCCATTTTCATGAACACCCAAAAGAAAATCCACTAGTGGATAAGCTTTAGTTTCCTGTTTTCATTTTCTTGTTGTGTAAATTAGAAACAAAAGAAACCTTAAGAGAACAGGGACCTAAAAAGCACAAAGTTTTAAACATGATTCCTCATGTGATTCAAACTTACAAAATGTACTATCTAAAAAATGGTATTATCAACTAATTATTAAATCCTGTGGCCAGAAAGACAGGTAGGAGGAATGGCTACTCTAGCAGTGTGATTTCCAAAACCTACAAGCCAACTCACAAAACGTGGAGACCCAATGTTCTCTCCTCCAAGGACACATCCAAGCATGAATGTAGTAGAAATAAATACAGGCAAAATACAGAAATAAATTAATCTTTAAAAATGTAAGAAGCTAGTTATGATAGGGGAACACATGGGAAACAGAACAGAGACAGGTAGATTTCTATGAGTTCCAGGACCCTCCCCTCCCTGTCTCACACTAATAGGAAAGCTGTCTAAGTATCAAGCAAACATTTTTTACAAGTTTTCTACTGTATCCAGATTTAAAAACCCTTTTAGCACACCTGTAAATCTGATCCCTGTCTTGAGCTGCTCTCCATCCACCTCCTCCTCCACCACCTCCTCTGTAAAGAGAATTGTTTAGTTAAAACAATTGCCACAAACAATGAACAACAACAACAACAAGAAAAACCAGTTTCTTATAGTTAACATGCTAAAAAGCCCTTTCTGAAATAGCACAATTGTTCTCAACAGAGACCTTTAACTTTGCAGTCCCAAGTACCACTAAACAGAGTAATGATTATGGGGGTGGGGAGATGTCATTTTGGTAGAAGGAAGTCTGGACTTTAAATACTAGTGTCTTCCATAGAAAACAGTATAGTATGCATACCACACCAATAAGAAAGCCAAGAGTTGTGACCCATACACCTAATTACACAAGTTTACACTAAAGGTTTAGCATCACTGTTTGGTGACTGATTGATGCCATACTCATATAAAACAGAGAAACAAAATTAAGTTTCACTTTTGTACTGGCTAAATTTTTCTTCATCTTTAAAAATTAACGAGACATCCAACTATATACCAAATTAGACAGAACTATTAAATTTTGCCCCAAATTCTGGCTATTTCTTATATTCTAAAAGCTTAGGTTTTTTTTGTAATGCTTTCAGTGTCAAGTGACTTCTATACAGCTTACCTGTATGATCTGCTATAATAGTCCCGGTCATCATAACCTCGATCATATCCTCTGTCATAATAGTCTCGGCGACGTGAACTGCCACTATAAACGACAACATGTATCTTTTAGTAATTTCCCTCTTGCTAAAATTGGTCCTCATAGGCAGCAGCAGAGAACTCAACCTAATACCTTGTATATGATTAAATGTGCCTTTGGCTTTCCTGCACAAAAACTAAAGATGTCTACTAATAGACCCCCTCTTTAAGTATGTTAACTGAAAAATATCTCTATATTAACTTATCAGTGTCAATACCACGTTCTCTTTTCCCTTGTTACACTTTATCTGTGTGTGTATAATCATGTGCAATGTTCTGATTTTAGGAGCACACATCCAACAGACTTATTTAAAAAAGTCAATCAACTGCTGGGCACAGTGGCACACATTTCTCTCCACCACCAAGAAGGCAGAGGAAGGCAGATGCCTGTGTGTTTGAGACCAGCCAGGGTTGTATGGTATGGTGAGGATCCTGCCTTTGTTGTTTTGAGACAGTTTTCTCTGTGTAGCCCTGGCTGTCTTGAATTCAGAGATCTGCCTGCCTTTGCTGCCAAGTGCTGGAATTAATTAAAGGTTTGCATCACCAGGGCTCCATTATTATCCTACCTTAAAAACATCTTTAAAAAAAAAAATTGAAGCTGAGACTAAGTGAACTAAGATATTCTCTAACATCTGCAATTGAACCCCCCTCATGATTTTTAAAAATTAAATTTTATTTAAAGATTTTGAAGATGGATCACTGGGTAAACTGCTGCTCAAGTATGAGGTCTGAAATGGTTATCAGCACCCACATAATGTATGGTGACATATAGGAAGGTCACAGAAGCTCACTGCAGCCAGTCAGTAAACCCACTGAAACACTGTTTCAAAACTTAAGCCGAGACCTATGATTTGGAGCAACCCAACCCTAAGAGAAGCTTCTTTTGGCATTGGACAGCAGATTAAATGTATAGGAGTGATCAACCATAAACAATAAACAGGACATCAATATTGATTCCCTACTCCAGACTCAAACATCAGAGAAACAGGAGAAAGATTCTAAAGCTACAGATAGAGAACTGCACTCTTGAGTTAACAGTAACTGCAGTCTAGTTACCTGTATCAATTAACATTCCAGCATGTGGAGGTGAGGAGATGTTCCTACCAAGGCCCTACCCCTACCTAAGGAACCAGCTAGATGTAGCTGCTGGCTGCTGGTGAAGAGCCAGTTTTCTAGGAATATGTGAAGCATGGTAGGTTGAGCTTGATCCAGTAACATGAAGCATATGGATGTATTATTAATGACGCTCGGTGTATTTTTAAAAAAGGGAAAAGAGGACATGAGAATGGGAAGGGGAAATATCTGTGGGCTTGAGAGTTTTACATCTAGGGGAAGATGACATGAACAGCAAGGTTGAAAATGAGATCATCTCCAGAGCTCATGTATGTGTAAGGAAGGAATCATCTCCACAAAGTTGCCCCCCTGAACCTTACATGCATGTGTGGTTGTGCATACAAACATTATTTTCAAGAGATTGGTGATGGTGGTGGAGAAGAAGCATGGTAGAGGAAGATACCCAACATGAACCTCTAGACCATTCAAGTACCCACCCATCCTCACACCAAGTTAAACTTACTAAGTGGGTCTCCCCATATAAATTCCTGGTGTTGGGGTATGGGGTCTTTTGGTTATAGAGAAATCGACCCTAATTCGTCGTCCATCAAGCTCCATTCCATTGGCACGTTCTTTAGCCTTCAAAAGATAAAAATTGTCACATCCTGGGCAATAAATCTAATTATCCTAAAGCTATTTTTGGCCAGGAAATAAATAAAAACAGAGCTCAAATGTTCCCCTTCACACACCACTGTTTGGAATTAGAAGAGGTTGTTTATATGTTGTAGTACAATACAGGTTCACAACTACAAACACTGATACTGTCAAAGACTGCCAATTCTATTACCTATATCTTATATCTTTTGGCATATTAGAAGACTCTTTTTGAATTTTATTAAAACTTCAATGCCACTTTTTGTAATTATTTAGATTTAATTTAAAAAATAAATATTTGAGAACTCCCAATTTCATGAAGAACATTGTATTAAAACTCTAGCAAAAGCTTAATTCCTGGTCTCAACAGCAATCAATGGACCTGCTATTAGCTCTCTCTTTACACTAAAATGAGCATGGACTGGAGTTCAGGGCTGGCTGCATTTCCAGAGGACCTGGACTCAATCCCCATGAAGAGGTACAAAATGGTCTCTAGCTCCAGTTCCAGGAGCCCTGATATCCTGATGGCCTCCACAGATACTGCACACACTATACGAAGACACTCATGTAGGCAAAACACCTAGACATATAAAGCCTTTCTAAACAGACAGTACATTCTCATGTTCTACTGTGTCAGGCAAGAAATTCAAATAATGAAGTCACTTGTTTTCCACCATGTACCTTCTTAAAAAAAGAAAATAGCTTAGTGTATTCTTTACCAAACTTATCAAAAAATTTTGTACAAGGTTAAGAATGACTTCAGAATATCACTGAATCTAACATGTTCCAAGTAGAAGTTGTTTTTGACCCAAATCTATAATTGCGTGTCTTAAAACTTAAATTTATACTATAAAACAGAAATCACTTTGTTATCAGAACAGTTAACAGGATTGTTTTTTAACGAAAGTGCAAGTAAGAATTTACTTACTTCCTTGGCATCATCTACATTTTCAAAATATACAAAGGCAAATCCTCTTGAACGTCTAGACTGCTGGTCATACACAATAGACACATCCGCAATGGGGCCATATTTAGAGAACACTTCTCTTAGATCTCTTTCTGTGGTGTACAAGCTCAACCCAAATACCCCAAGACAACAGTTGGGGTCAGGATTTGCCTAGAAAACAGAAATAAGAGATTTTTAACCTTTGAAAATCTAACATAAGTCTGACTAGTATAGAAAAATGATAAACAATTAAATCAAGAACCATTGTATCGCCAGGCGGTGGTGGTGGCGCACGCCTTTAATCCCAGCACTTGGGAGGCAGAGGCAGACGGATTTCTCAGTTCGAGGCCAGCCTGGTCTACAGAGTGAGTTCCAGGACAGCCAGGGCTACACAGAGAAACCCTGTCTCGAAAAACCAAAAAACAAAACCAAACAAACAAAGAACTGAAAAAAAGAACCAAAAAAGAACCATTATATCTTATAAAAAGCCAACCAAACAAAAACCATTGTGGCATAGTGCAATAACCACAAAGGGTAGGAAACCCCACAAGAAAACGAATAAAAGCAGTTTATTCCCTATCAAGGGAAAAAAAAAGTGGACCATTTAGTTTATAGTCAGGGTCTCACACAACTCAGGCTGGCCCCAAACTCATGGCAACTCAATTCCCACCAACAAAATGAGTAAAACCCCTTGCTTCGTTTTTAAACCCCGCTAGCCCAACAAACCAACTCATTCACATTGGTTCTATGTGTGTAGCATACACCCACCTCAAAAAGGTGATAAAAAATAAACTTGAGCTGGGTGTAGTCATACACACCTTTATTCCATCATTCAGCAAGAAGCAGCAAGATCTTTTTAGAGGCCAACCTGGTTTCAGGACAGCAAGAGTGAAATACTACAGTGAAACCTTGTCTTACAATGGGAACCAGCTGTGTGGTGGCAGCATACACCTATATCTCAGCACTCAGAAGACACAGGCATGCTGATCTACAGAGGACAAGAGCTGTACAGCATATGCAACAACTGCTTAAAGATCATTTTAAATGATCAGATATTGTAAAAGTTGATTTGCAAACTAAGGACATTAAGAGTAAAACCAGAGCCAGGCAGTGGTGGCACACGTCTTTAATCCCAGCTCTTGGGAGGCAGACAGGCGATTTCTGAGTTCGAGGCCAGCCTGGTCTACAGAGTTGAGTTCCAGGACAGCCAGGGCTACACAGAGAGACCCTGTCTCGGAAAAAAAAAAAAGATTAAAAGCAGCAATGCTGCTGCTACTACTAATAAATGAGGGTGACAGTGTGGAACAAGAAGTAAGGATGAACCAAACATTAAGCTTCATAAATTATTTGTATGCTTTTCCATTATTCCTTCAGAATGTCTAGCAGCTGAAGTCAGAGAGGGAAATTATGTTGTATATTAATTATCATTGTATATTAAGCAATCATAGATGAAATCCACTAGAAAATGTAACATATTAAACAGCTATTATCAGTAAAATTAAACCCCCATATTACAAGCATTCCAGCCAAAATGAATGTCCAAAGGTTCCAGTCATTTTACATGGGAGATGGGATCAGAGTTATTAGGGAAAGTACATCCCAATATAAACACTCAGTTGTTAAACTCCACTGGCAAAACAAAGATCAGCTAGTACAAAGTTCCAAAATAGTCTTCAGACTGGGGTCTGCATCTCAGTGGTAGAATACTGATTTGCTCAGTGTGCACACAGTTCCCAGCACTTCAGAAATCTTACCCGGTTCCCAACATGACGCCTTCGAGTAGACATGGGAGAATGGCTGTGGCTGTGTCGCCTGCGATAATCTCGGCTGTAAGACCTGCTCCGGGATCGTCTATGGGAGCGAGATCGTGATCGTGACCTTGTATAATGCCTTCTAGAACTTCTTCTGGATCTAGATCTGCAAGACAGAAGTCTTTGGAATTATGACTGAATAACAAACAGATATGATGTTAAAAAAATTCTTTTGAAAATCAGACCACCATGGCACATTCCTAGTTTGGTGTCAACACCTCAATGCTTATCCTTTATTCTGTATTTCTTATTATGCCCACTAAGAATTTAGGCCATCACAAGTAGTTCATGGCTTTTGACTAGAGTGTTTGCTTCTGTATAAAGTGGTCACTAAACCACAACACAGTGAGAGAAGAGTGCTGGTGCTGCAAGCATCAAGTTCAAAAGGTTAAGTGAGCAAAAATAGGGGAAAGATCTGAACCCCAACTCTAAAAGCACAAGTTGTTTCAGTCTTTTGGCTCCCACTGCTAATACCAACATGTAACAGACCTTCGCTAGTTTTTAAACTCTACCACATCAGCAGAGTTAACAGATCTCAAAATGCCCTTTCTTACCTAGATTCAGATCTGGACCTTGACTTTGATCTAGAACGCCTCGAATCTTCCTTGGAGCGAGATCTTGCAGGTGTATGCCGTGCAGATTTCCCCGATCCGTGAGCACTTCCACTTCGGGAAGCAGAACGGGATTCCTACACGCAGATGTCAAAAGTTTTAATTTGTATACTGTTTTGAAAACTTTAAAAAACAAATAAGCTTCTGTGAGATAAATGGCCAAGGAGAGCAATCCTTTTCCAAAGAAAACATTTGTGAGGGCAGGAATTGAGTATACCTGGTATAATGGTTTCATTGCTTCAACTGACATGAATCAATTGGTTGTCTTCCACCTTTCTGGAGCAGGGATAAGTAGTAACTAACTCTACTCCCTTAAAAGGTGTCCAAGTCAGATTGCTAAAGAACTGCCCAAGGATTATATTTGGAGAACGATACTACATAGACTGGGAACAAACTTTAATCATGAAATTTATTCTACTCCAACAGCAATGAAAACACCCTAAAAAACTTATGAAATTCCAAGTTTCAGTTTGTTGAATGAGAGCTTGAGTTTCACGCTCTGAAAGTAGAAGAAATCTAGCTAGGTTTTAGTTTTAATGTTCATGGGGACCTCCTACAAATTCAAGAGCAACCAAAAGGAGCTAAGAACAGAGAAAGGCAGCAAACAGTATTTAAGAGTAGAGAAAAGTAGCAAAGATCTAGCGTTATTGACTAAACTGACAAGAACCAAGACAAAATACAACAGGTAACTGAAAAAAAGTAGAAATATGTCAAAGGCACATTCAAACAAGAATAAAATAAGAAGCTCACTGTCTAGGAGCCCAGAAGAAAAATTCTGAAGATGCCTATGCAAGTATCATACTCCAATCAATTGCCAGTTAGCCAACACAAATGAAATCTCAAAAAAACAAAACAAAAAAGAAATGGCTAAACAGAATAACCATTTCATAAGCCAAAGGCTTGTGTCAATTAGTAGAAAAAAAAACCATGCATATATATAGCAATAGAATGCAAAGAAAAACTCACAAAAGAATTAAAATAATAACCCTAAATGGGTAGACAGTACTAACTCTACTAGACAGCTAAGCTTTAACCACGCAGAACTTTTTAGAGCAAAACTAAAACAAAGGACATGAATCTAAACAGACACTTATAAATAAAAGTAACCACAAGAGCTCTCCCTTGACAGAATAGTGTGGCCATTTTCAAAAGGATAAAGATACAGAATTAATTTATATACAGAATAAGGGAGACAATTTAGAACATTCCTCTCTCTGTGCTTAGGACATAAAAATATGTATCAGTATACAACACAGAAGAGAGGGGACCTCAAATAAAAGATATAAACAACTAGAGGAATGAGTTCAGCTTTCAAGGCCCCAAATCATCTAGAAAATACCTGAATGAAACTGAAACACAGTGTGATGTCACATGTCATAGATAGCATCACCTATCAGACCTTCCTTAATCCCCAAGGAGTGACTAAAAATTAAAATAAGCTGTGTGAGAGAACAGCTGCCTTTAATACCAAGATATAGTTTAACACTCATTGCTGCTGGTGGGAGACTACTCCAATTACCCAGCCCCTGGATTTCTGTATCAAATGCTCAAGCAAACATTCAGCAAGGCAATAGAGTAGTGGTTTTTTCACCTTTACTATAGGGAAAAATACCTGATAGGCTAATAAAAATACCTTTATTTTAATCCTTTAAGAATGCTTCACAGAACAATTAGAAGCTTTAAGAGAAAGCAAATGAAGCATCTTCCCAGAAAGAACATAGTATACTGCCACATAGAATAAAACAAAAGGTGAATTTGGCTAACAGAAATTTGTCTAGAAATAAAGAGGTAGAAAATAAAAATTTCCTCCTTCAGACTTGCTGCTGTTAGCTAAAAGGAAAAAAAAATTTCTAGTATGAAAAATTAGCCGCAGTAAGGATTCTCCTTAAAACTCGAGTAAGCTAAAGGGGTCTAAACAGATGGCTTAGAATGCTCCCAAGCCTCCACTCAACCTCCCTATAGGCTATGTCACAGATGTACTTCTTGAGCAACTATTTCTTCTATTAGAAATGAGGGGATTCCCCAGAATACAAAAGATTTCACTTGTCTGTATACTGTCACCTTGCTGGACTAACAGGGGTGGGGACAACAAAAAAACACTTCTAAACATTCTTAGAGTTTAAAGATGTTAAATCCTTCCAGTTACATTGACCACCTTTAATCGGTTAAAAAAAAGGGGGGGGGCGGTTTGTGTGTGTGAAGAAATGAGACTTGGATTAGCTAAATCCAAAGCTCTATGCTAATCTTAAACCTTAATGCACAAACAACTCTGAAACCAACTAGGAAAACCCTTTATACATAATACTTCTAATTCAACTGTGTGAGAAAGCTATAAAAAAAAAACTATAAAGAATTACTCTCTGGAGAGTCAATGTTGAAAGGAAAGAGATCATGAACATAAAAGCATAAATAAAACAAAGCCAGAAATTCCCAGAAAAAATATAAAAAGGTTCTCAAATAAATCTTAGGTATTGGGCTGGCGAGATGGCTCAGTGGTTAAGAGCACTGACTGCACTTCCAGAGGTCACGAGTTCAAATCCCAGCAACCACATGGTGGCTAACAACCATCTGCAATGATATCTGATGCCCTCTTGTGGGGTGTCTGAAGACAGCTACAGTGTACTTACATATAATAAATAAATAAAAAAAAAATTAAAAAAAAAGAATCTTAGGTATTTTAACTAGTGCACAAGCTATAAGGAACAGGTCAAGTTTAAAAACAAAATCTCAAGCATTCTTTATCTCCTATAGAGAATAGCAGCTCAAAATATAAAGTCCTATATAGAGCTTTTAGTTAGGTATCCTAATCCTATGCTATTTAAGGCCTCATAAACTCTATTAAGAAGTTAAATCTTCTATGATTCTTTTGAATAGTAATCATCCCTGATTCCAAACCCCATTTCAGCCGATTTTAATTCCATTTCCCCTGTGAACAGACCTAAAAGCATCACCCTCAAAGGAGACACAAGGTTCAAAGAGGAAATAATAAAACAAATGGGAAATGCATACTAACATCAACATTATTTTTACTTTAAGTGTATCCAACTTGGGCTATAGAGTAAAATTCCAAATTCACATAAGCTTGAGTAATAACAAAAAATTAAAACCACTCAATTATCTTATTAGTTTTACAAAGCAACTGTCTTCTATAAGAGAGTATTGTGTTCTCTTTGCAAGATACAGAAATAATGTAAAAGGCACTGACAATAGGTTGAAGTGTACCAACACAACATGCAGACTTGACAGTCATTCAAGTCATTTTTGCCAGTAGCTCTAAAGACACTGACAACACTCAGAAAAAAATTTAAAGTTGCCATAGCTTTAAGATGATAATCTAATATTCTGCATTGAAGACAACTATTAGTTGTTTGTGGATTATGTGTGCTTTGTATTAACATATGCTAATCATCTAACTATATATACTCAGTCAAAACAGACAGGAATTTTGTGTTTATTTTTCTCAGTTGGAGTAGCACACTATAAGAAAACAATGTTTACTTTAGGATCATTATAATAAATAAGGATAAGAGAAAAGGCACAAAGTACCAGCTACTATCACTTTGAATTAGCTCTCATTTCACTTGTAACCCATTTCTTTTAGGGGAAACTACTATATACTTCAGCAAAAACCCTAATTCAGTTGGAACAGGCGTTAAACTGAAACAATATAAAGAACCATCCTTATTTGGCACATGTAGATCTCAACATTTGGACTTAAATAGTTGTAGCTTTACACAAATATGTGAAAACCTAATGCTTTCATCACAATATAAACAATGATGTCGGATGCTTTGCTTAGATTGTGGGGGTTTAGTCCCATTATCACCCTGGTAACAATCTTCAATTTTTCCAGTAGAAAATTGTACTATACACTTAAGCAGAAAATAAATATCAGTGCATGAGAGTCCAAAGGGCATTAAGTAAGAGACCACCAGTTCCAACTCATACTCACTTGTGCCCCAGAACCAGCAGAATATAATAGATGAAAGGCCTAAGGCAAAGTGGGAGGCCATTTACCCAGGATGGATAGCACAATGCTGCAGCCTATTTGACTACACAAATAGTTATTTTCAAAGAATTGCATTTCCATCATTTGACTAAGCAGTTAAAATTAGAATTATTACCTAATTTAAACGATTCCCTTGGAAGTCACTTCTTTACCCTGTATATACTTTCTTCTATTAAACAAATAATGCATGCATGTTTAGCAAAATATACAGGGACACATAAACAGACTAGTAATTACTTAGCGTAGTGCTTTCTGATTCCAGATTACTTCTTATCTTAACTTCATTTTTATTTCTTTTCTTCATTCTTCCGTTTCAAATTCTGACTTCTTTCATCTTCCCCACTTCACACAAATTGCTCAATATTCTACAAGTGGGACTTCTGGTCTGATAATTAGCATGCATTCTTTCTTTTATATTTTCAAATTTCAGCTTCACTTATTCCTGAGCTTCAAATACTCATTTATAAAACTTGTCAAATGACGACTTCCGCATTTTCCTTCTTCAACATTAACCTTAATAGAAAAAGAACAGGATGAAGAATATTTTAAAACTCCAGGATAAAATCCAGTGCCAAAACTGAAACTAGAAAAAAAATCCCTTTTTGTAGTTTTGGATTAAAAAAAAAAATACTAAATATGCAGCTCAAAAAACTGAAACTACATAGTTTCCTTTTGGTATATGGTAATCATTTGTCTATTCCAAATAAATTTATCATGCTTAATGTGAAGTGCGCCACTGAACATTTACTGTTCATTTAACATTTTTACAAACTGTAATCACATTTCACACTTCTTATTGTATTAAAGAGAAAATGCTAAGTGTCAAAAGCACATCTCTAGTCAAAAAAAAAAATGACACATTTCAGTACAAAAGTGCAAGAAAGAAAATCATGGACAACTCAACTGTGTAATAATGACAAAGGCTGGGGTTGAAGAGGTTTACATATTGTGACTTGTCTAGATAAGGAAATGGCTATTTAATGCCACATTACTGTGTATTTAAAAACAGCATTGTTAAACAATGTCAGCAAACCTGACTATTTGGATCTGTTCAACCCACCCTTGGGA